AAAGAAAGAAAGAAAGAAAGAAAGAAAGAAAGAAAGAAAGAAAGAAAGAAAGAAAAAGTAAGCCATAGAATGGGAGAATATATTTGTAAATATAAGAAATGTAGTGCTTTTAACTAAGAGGATGCTGATTGCAACAAAAACAAACTACCGTCCCAGCTATTTGCTATTAGCTTGTTAGACTAACCATGCCTCGTCCAGCACCATCTCATTTGTAACATTATGCTGGTTTCAGGTGGGCTCCAGAATAAAACCAAACAATAAAAATCAGAGACTATATTCTGCTGTGGAGGTAACATATCATGCTATAATTTCTGTAAGAATATTACACATTTTAGTCTTAGGAAGCCAGTTCTACGGTTTCTGGAGAACTGGAAGGCTGCCCCTCGAAATGTCCTCTGGCCCCTCCCCACCCCTCACCTCAAACATGTAACACTATTTGTCCTCTGATGGGTAGGAAGCAAGAATAGGGGGGTAGAATCAGTTGTTTATTAGACAAAGCACCATATCGAGTGCTTGAGGCAATTTACGTACTTTATCATTCAGTCAACTCCAAGTGGTCATTTATTATTATCTTTATCTCACCAAAGGTAAGCCCCATGACAACTGGGACTTTGTTCTATTCCTGTATTCCCACATCCAGCACAGTACCTGATACATGGGGGTGATGAACAAATATGTCCTGAATAACAAGGCTCAGAGAAGTTGAGACACTTCCGAAGACTGTCGCAGCCAGTCAGTAACAGGACTGAGATTTGAACACAAATCTCAGAGTATGGTCATTATCTCCAGCGACAACTCCCCCACGAAGTCCCTGAACTCTGCACATTCAACTCCCTTCACAAATAGACATCTTAACCTTAATACATCCCAAACTTTCAGGTGCCCAGTTCAAAACCCTTGGCTATCCTTGACCTCTCGGTCTCTCAGCCTCCACCTGCAGCCTGTCAGGAAATCCCACTGCTTCTGCATTTGTCACCTCTCCAGAAGCTGGCCATGTCTCACCACCTCCCCTTGCTACCTCACTGTCCGAGACACAGCCACGGCCGCCTCTGGCCGGGTTGTTCCCCAGCCGCCTGCTCTCCCCGCCCCTGTCGCCAGTCACCCTCCCTACACCATCTAGCTCACAGCGCTGCCTGAGGGACCGCAGGACTGAACGTGCCCCTCAACATTCCCATTTCGAAGCCCTAACCCCCACTGTCATGGCCTTAGGAGCTGGGACTTTGGGAGGTGATTAGGTTTAGATGAGAGCGTGAAGGGAAGCCCTGGGGTGGGATTAGTGCCCCTACAAGAAGAGGGAAACACTGCAGGGCTTCATCTTTCCACCATGCGAGGACACAGTGAGAAGGCTAGCCTCTGCATGCCATGGAGAGGGTGGATCCTAGACTTTCCAGCCTCAGAACTGTGAGAAAATAAATTAATGTTGTCCAAACCACTCAGTCCATGGTGGGTTTTTTTTCAGATTTTATTTATTTGAAAGAGAGCTCATGCACAAGCAGACCCCATGCTGAGCACAGAGCCCGACGAGGGGCTTGATCTCACAACCCTGAGCTCATGACCTGAGCTGAAATCAAGAGTTGGTCGCTTAAGCCACTGAGCCACCCAGGTGCCCCATGGTGTTTTATTTTTTGGCAGCCTGAGCAGACTAAGACCCTGTTAAAACATAAGGCCGATCATGCCACTCCTCTGCTCAAAACCCTCTAGTGGCCTCTTTCTTTAAGAATCAAGGATAAATTCTTCACAGAGGCCGACAGGGTTCTATGTACTCATCCCCTTTTCCTATCTGGTCCCCCCAAACCCCACTATTATATCCTTCCAGTTGGCTAAGTTACCCATACCGGCCTTCCTTTCGGTCCTCAAATCTGTCAGCCTTGTGCTTTGGGCCTTCCTAGGGTGTTTTCCTCGATCTGGAATGACTGGTAGAGTCATCCCAGCCTGGGAGCATGACTGACTCCCCCCCCCCCACCTCCCTCCTACAGGTCTCTGCTCAAAGCTGACCTGGCAGAGCCCTATCCTGACTCCATCATCTTAGCCTCACCTTTGCTACCACTCCTGATTCCCTTATCTGCTCTATTTTTAGCGGTAGCACTGATCACTTTCTGACATACTACTTTATTTCTTTTTCATGGCTTATTATCCATCCCCTCCCGCTACAATGTAAGACCCCGGACTGCACAGGCTTGCTCTTGGATGAACTCCGGAGCCTCTGCACTTGACACACTGTATTTGTTGAATGAGTGACTGCCCCCGAATCACGAGTTCTTGAATCCTGAATGTTAAAACTGTAGAGGATCTACTTTAATCTTCTGTTTATAGGTGAGGAGACAGGACTCCGAGAGGTGACAGGAGTGGTTGAGGTCATACACGGACGGCTGGTGACAGAGTAAATCGATAAAGAGGCAGATCTTCTCCACCTATCAAAGGCTCTACTGGGGCATGTGACATCTGTGGCTTAAAAAAAGGTTATCAGAGCAAACGCAAAGATGCCCAACCGGCAGCCCCTACCCTTGCGGAGGGAACAGTCGCTGCGGCGTGCGGCCACCAGAGGGCATGCGTGTGCCAGATTGAACGCCCAACCTGCCAACTTCCCAGGGAGGAAAGTGCCCACCCAGCACCGCTAGAGGGAGCAGTGGTGCCGCCAGCCCCCAAAAGGAAATGCGGCGGCGGGAGGGAAAGCAGGATTTCCATGACTGAGCTACTTACCAGAGATCTCCAGCCTTGTAACCAAACTACTTATTAAAATGCCATTGGAGAACGCTGCTGGTAAACTGGTAAAATTTAGTCGCTTTAGGAAACACTGTGGAGCTCTCGGCTTCCTCTTTTATTCTTTTACTTCCCGGAGCCCTCCCTTTGCCGCATCTGGTGGGGCCGGGTGTCGGCAGGTGCACAGGTGCAGTCCTGCCTGCCATAGCACGTGTTAGGTGACCCCAAAACAAAGTCCTAAACTTTAGATGTCGAACAATGAGATGGGAAGCCAGACTGGTTTTTGTTTGAATGGCATTTCATTCCCGGGAATGAATAGCCCAGAATAGAGCCACAGTGTAAGAAGAGCAGTGGTTACCCTTCCCTCCAGATGCTCACTGATCTTCTATGCACAGGAGAGGATTTGACCTTCATACTGTGTGGATGCAGTAGACACTATGATCCCCATTTTGCAGCTGAGGGACCCGCCCTCACACAGATGTAGGCAGAAGAGATGAGTTTTATAGCCCTTGAGCTATTTTATTCCAATGCCCTTTGGCTTAACCACTCCTGAATAAGTCCCTTGTCATATTGAAATCACCTGGTGTTATCACCCTGGTTCACCCAGAGCAGCAGAACCTGCAGGAGATATACATATTGAAAGAGCTACTGCACAGCTGAGCTTTTGTGATGGTGGGGGCTGGCTAGGCAAGTCTGAAATCCATAGGACATGATGTCAGGAAGGACAGGCGGAAGCTGCAGTCCGCAGGCTTCACCAGGGAACCCTCAGCTCTGCTCTTGAGGCCTCTCACCAGATTGAATCAGGTCCACCCATATTAGTCTCCCTTACTTAAAGTCCACTGATGATGGACTATAATCACAGTCACAAATAGCTTCACAGCAACACCTGAGTTAGCGTTTAATTGAATAACAGGGGACCATAGCTGTCTTAATGAGTTCGGGCTATTGTAACAGAATACCACAGACTGAGTGGTTCGTCAACAACAGAAATCTATTTCTCACAGTTCCAGAGGCTAGAAGTCTGAGATCAGAGGGTCCTCTTCTGGGTCGCAGACTGCTGACTTCTCACTCTATTCTTGCGGAGAGAGAAGCAGCAAGCTCTCTCGTGTCTCCTCAAGGCACTCATCCCATCCCTGAGGGCTCCACCCTCAGGACCTCATCTAAACCTAATTACCCCCTAAAAGTCCCACCTCCTGATACCATCACACCCGGGGGGGGTAGGGTTTTGACATAAGAATTTTGGGGGAACACAGGCTACAACAGTAGCCTGGCCAAATTGACACATTAAAACACCATTATACCTCAAAAGCTTTTGAAAAGTAGGGTTTTTTTCAGCCTCACCCCAAACCAATTGAATCTGAATCTCATGGGATGGAACCTGGACATTCATTTTCTTTCCTTGATTTAAAGTTCCCCATAGTGGGGATGCATAGTGAGAGTTATGAACTATGAGGCCGATCACTGAGATGAGGGCCTTCAGAACTTGAAACGAGCCACACAGTACTTGGTTTTTTGTGTTGGCATCACCGTAGAGAAGCCAGGGGCCATCCTGGAGGGAGCACACTCTGGTTCTGTGTTGGCTCTGTGTTTGCTCCGTGACCCTGGGCGGGGCCCTCCATTACTCAGCCTCAATGTCATCACCTGGGAAAAGAGGAGAATGGGAGGAAAGGTCCAAACTGCCCCACTAATCTTTATCCAACTGTCATCTCCCTTCTTAATTTCAGAATCTCAGATTTGTTTGGCCTCACTATTCCCAGTCCCAGGAGATGAGTCGTGATTGGCCCAGACCAGGCAGTGGCAGCCCCCTTCCTTGGGCACTCCTTCCAACAACTTCCCTTGCAGCCACCAGGGGGCACTGGACCCACTTCTGGGCAATGAGATACAAGCAAACTTGACCATGGTCATCGGGGTAATATTTCCCTCACCAAGAGCGAGCAAGATCCTCCTGCTCCACCTGCAGTCTCGAGGGGGCAAGAGCCTGACATGATGGCACCCCATGTGATGCCAGTCAAGGGACAAAAGACCACCTGCAGAGGGGGGAAATCAGAAAGACAGACAAAGCTTGGGTCCTCGATGCCACTGTAGAGCCAGGGCACCACGTCCTACCTGTGATTATAAAGTCTTCGCTGAGAACACCTTCCCCGACTAGCAGTAGTCAAAGTTCGGGGGAAAGAGAGGAAGATTCTGCAGCCATCTCATTCCAGGGATCTGGTATTTGTGGAGCAGATGGTGAGATGTGGAAGACAGAAGAGTCTCAACTCCGTAATCCAGCTGAGCATGTACCACACCTGACTCTAAGTGTCTCCACATGTAGAACGCTTCTTATTTATCACAGGCTCTTTCAGGGAATAGCAATCAGTCTTGAAAGGAGCATTCAAGACCCTCCACAAATACAGCTATTCCCTACTTGAGTCAGAAGTGCCATGCCTCTTTAATGACTCTGGAATATTCCACAGTGATTCCCATGTTCATCTTGGTTTGAATTTCTTCACCCTTCTTTCGGTCTGTCTGTCTGAATCCCACCATCTTAGGTCCAACCTCCACCAGCAAGACATGAATAACTCATCTACACCACCACTTTCCTGACAATGCAGAGCCCTGTCATAGTGCCCTTAACTAGAGCATTTGACCTCACAAACAAGAGCCCTCAGGGAGGCCTCTGGATGCCCACCACACCTGCAAAGCATCTTGTTGTTCCCTTTTATTTTTTTCCAGTTTTATTGAAGTATCATTGACATACAACATTGTATTAGTTTAAGGTATACAACATGATTTGATACATGTATAGACTGCAGAATGATCACCAGAATAACTCTCATTAGAATCGATCACTTCACACAGTTATGAAACTTTGCCCCTTGTGATGAGACTTTTAAGATCTACTGTTAGCAACTTCCAGATACATAAACTACTATTGTTTGCTGTAGTCCTCCTGTCGTACTTCACATCCCCAGAACGTACTTATCTGACAACTAGGAGTTTGTACTTTTTGACCCCCCTACCTAATTCGCCCACCCCCACCTCCTGCCTCTGGCAACCATCAACCTGATCTCTATCTTTGAGAGTTTGGTTTTTTTAGATTCCACACGTAAGTGGGATCGTACAGTATTTGTCTTTGTCTGGCTTATTTTGCTTAGTATAATGCTTTCAAGTTTCATCCACATTGTCACAAATAACAGGATTTCCTTCTCTTTGTTGGCTCAGTAGATTTCCATGATATATCTTCTTTATCAGTACATCTGTCTATGGACACTTAAGTTGCTTCCACATCTATTGTAAATGCATAATGCTGCAATGAACATGGGAGTATATATATCTTTTCAGGATAGTGATCATTTCCTTTAGGTATATACCCAGAAAAAGAACTGCTAGATCCTATCACAGTCATTTCTTCCTTTTTTTCTTCCTAATAAATCAATTCCTCATAAATCAATTCAAAACCATGTTTGAAAGTGCCCCAAAGTGGCTAAAGTTCCGTTCAGTGACATTGTGCTATTCTCGTACATGCTGCTCAGTTTCCTTAAACACATCACTCATCTGAAGGACCAATACTAGAAGGAAGAGAATACTGCTAACAGCTTCAAGGTTGTTCTATTTCTGAAAATAACTACCCAGTTTGATCTCCTTTACCAATGTGGGATAGTCTTTTTCTATTAATTTTTTAAAGATTTTATTTACTTATTTGAGAGAGAGAGAGTATGAACAGGGATCCCAATGTGGGACTTGATCCCAGGACCCCAGGACCATAACATGAGATGAAGTCAGACGCTTAACCGACTGAGCCATCCAGGCGCCCCCTTTTTTTAAATTATATTTAATTTCTTTAGTCCACATTTGCCCAAATTATAGGGCATCCTGTATCTCTTCCTAAGACATGCCCGAAAAACTTGCCCGAGCATCCCAGGATGTATTCAACTCTAAGAGGCATGTCTTGTTTCCAAACAATAGGCTAGGCTCATAGCCAGAGAAGCCAGTCAAAGATGAACGGGCTCCAACTTTCTGCCATCATAATTTCTCTTGCTCTAGGGTAACTGTTGAAAACTGTCTTTATGGTTCAATGTGTCCTTGCTTTTACCACTCCAAATGAACTCAAAAGCCAAAGCCATATTTTATTTTGAGGGAGGACAAAGGACAAGCCCAATATCTCCAGAGTTATGTCTGTCTGAGGCTTAAAGCCCCCAGGGGGGTTTACACTCAGCCCCACAGGATGCTCTTTGTCTGGTTTTATTGGGGACACTTTGAGCCTTAGTCACACAGTCAGCCCAAACCAGCCCGCAAATGGACCTTCTGGTGGGGGCATTGGGCCCAGGTTATCAACTGGACTCACACTTCCCCGGAGCTGGGTTCCTTGTTGGGGGTCCTTGGTGTCCTTTCCCATCTGACTCATCTCGGGGCGGGGGGGGTGTGGTTCTATCACATTGCATTCTCGAAAGGGAAGAAGATAGGAGACTCTCTTTCTGAGGTGGCAACTTGGTCCCTATTCAAATTTACCCACACTCCTCTAGGTGAGCACTCTGCCTCACAAGGGATATGTGGGGACTGAGTTGTTCGGGTCAGAAATGTCTCAGGGTAATTAGTGACTACTTGCCTTAAAACAGAAGCACTGGGTGGCGCCACTAAGTGACCACACAGGGGGGTGGCCGGTGCATCCCCCCAGGCAGACAACCAGCTGATCCTTTCCTTTTTGGCAGCTACTTTAAGTTCTGCTTAGTCAGGTACACAAGAGCTCAGACTCAACTCTGAAGGGGCTCAAGTGTCTGTTGGGGCATGGGGTGGGGGGGCTGCGCCCCAATGGAGTGGGAGCTCTGGGCAGAACTGAATGGAATCACACGGCAGGAGTCAGGGATGAACAGGCACTGGTTCTCCCCTGGTGCCCCTCCCTTCCTGCATGTCGGGGACTGCAGAGCCCCCTGTGACGACGAGGGTGCAGGGCCTCCATCTGGGGGCCCGGAAAGCAGCTGAGAGCAGGCTGCACGTGCTCACTCCTCTGTCACATGGAGGGGTGGGAGGAGAGGGCTTGGAAGTGCCACACCTGGGCCATCGTGGCTCATCAGAAGACAGGCCCCCACCACCCCCTTGTCCTCGTACATAGCTCTTCTGGGATTAATTTCAATCGTCTTCCCCCCCTTGCCCAGGTCATTCCTCACTTAGCTCCCAGAACCCACTTCTTGGCTTCCGTGGCAGGTGCCACACTGAAAGTCTCTTGCAGAGTGGTGTTTCTGGGGCAGTGAGTAACAGGGGGATTGGAGGGAAAGAGGAGGAAGGGGGAGAGATGAGAAGTTGCCCTAGACCTGGGACCTAAGCCTTTGGCGAGAAGGTCCCCCTTTCTCCGGGTTCAGGCTCATTGACTCAGAATTGCTCACTACTTCCAAAACAGACCGAGCGTCTGGAGTGTCTGTCAGGGGCCTCCTCAGGACAGATGAAGGCCCCACTTCTGAGAGCTGCACCGCCCTGTGGTGGTTTGCAGAGCAGATTTGGAGCCTTCTCACTGGACACAGGGACAGTGTGTGAATTTCTTCCATTTTCCTAGGGGAAGTTTCCAAAAGTTTTCCAAGGGCCCTTTCAGCTGTGGTCTAAACTCAGGGCCTTGGCACCACTCCAGGGAGGAACCTCATTTACTTTGGCACCTGGGCACTTCCTATTTCGTCCCAGGCCCAGAATGTATGGAATAGGGCTTTGCTGGGAGGCACACCGTAGTAATTCTCTGTGCTGTCAGGACACATGGAGACTGTGACTGCGTAAGCCCTCGGGGACCTCCCCTGTTCGCTCGCCTGTTGGCTTCGGTTTAAGGGAGTTGCCCACAGAGGGATGTCTCATGAGGGGTTCATGCTTGTTGGATCGTGGAGGATGTTACAAATACTCAAATTTTCCTTGCAGATATTTTTTTCCCCCTCCAAGACTAGACAAAATGTATAGTGTTCATTTTGGAGAATCTATTCAAAAAGTTCATGAAAGAATGATTTTCACAATCAAGAAATCGCTATTTTTTTTTTCTTTTTCTTCAGGCTCATGGGTAACACAGCTGGGTGAGGCCAAATATGTGCCTGATGCAGGGATGCTGGTTTTGCTCCTAGCACTCTCCAAATGTACAAATTGGACAATTAATTTACTCTTTTATTTCTGGCAGGGGAAGGTAAGGAGGACATACCAGTTCCCATTACTTTAGTGCAGGCTAGCCCAGAAACGTATTAATTACTTGAGTGTCATGAAGGCTACAACTGTGCTGGCGCTCAGGCTCTCAGCTCCAGCTTCTTGCTCCCACTTTTCGACCCAGGAAATGAGGACCACTGGGTCATCATTAAGAAGAGATCTTGGAGCCTCTCCTCCATCAACCTGCATGGAAACACTGCCATGGTTCACCAGAGGCCTTAACCCAGCCTCATCCTGCCCAACGTCCCCAAGGAAGCAGGATGCCACAGCCCACGAGAGCTGGCCTGGCTTCCGGGCATTGGCCCAACCCGCTGCGCTGTGGCTGGGGTGCGCGGTATCGCCCAGGACTGAGTTCTGTTCCAGTTTCCCCCGATCCTCCCCAGTTAGGACCTGGCTCATGTCTCTCAGAGGGATGGCGCCCAGAATGAGTTGTCAATGTTGGCTGCTTTATGGAATTCTATAAACGGTTTTATTCTTGTTTTTGACGTCTT